TGGAAGTGACGGGCAGTTGTTTCGGAAGTGCCCTACACCTCCACAAGCAAAGCATTGACGAGGGTCAGTGCTTGGTCTAGTCGGGGCATGCCCCTCTCCTCGGACTGTAAGAGGTCTCTGCCCCACCGCTTGATCGGGGCGACGATATGGTAACGCCCTCGGTGCTCCACTGCTACTGGCACCTGTACGGATCGGGCCTCCTCTAGCATAGCTCTGTCTCCTCTGAGAGTCATCAATGTCTCTCTCCACCAATGCCGCTCTGTCAACCAAATCTCTGTAGTCCCGGATTCTGAGTGCCACAAGCTTCTCTCTGATGGTCGGTCTCAAACCCTGCTCGAAGCGCTTGGCCCTCCTATCCTCGGTGGATATGAACTCTGAAGCATAACGGGATAGCTCATCGAACCTCCTCTCATACTCAGCCACGGTCATACTGCCCTGCCGCAAGGCTAGAAAGTCTGCACTCATCTTATCTCTGACAGACTCTGGAAAATACTTGTCGTTGAAGCTTTGCTCAAACTCCTCCCAAGTGAGCGTATTAGTGTCCCTCTTTTTCTTCACTGACTCCCACCAGTAATCGGCCTCCCCTTCCAACAAATAGGTAGCCAAGCCAACCCGAAGGTCCCCGGCGATCCCCATACCATCACAAATTTTTTTCACCCAGCGGATCCATCTATCCGCATCTAAGGGATTGGAGCTCCCTTGGAAGGTGGGTGGGTGTTGCCGTAGAAATTCTCGAAGAGCCACCATCCTTCGGTTCTCATCGCCGTTGCCCGGTACTTGGACTAAAGGACGAACTCCACCGTTGTGGTGGTTGTTCCCACCTGGTTGTTGCACTAGGGTGGTGAGTTCCCTTAAACATTGGTAAATACCCTGTATGGCGTCGAGAGGTGGTGGATTTGCTTGACCACCACGCCCACGACCACACCCACGTCCACGTCCACGTACCCGTTCACCGTCCATCCTGCATATCAATTCACAATTTAGTTTCATTGATGTACAAGACATCCTAAATATCACTTTAATCTACAGCATAAGGTCCATATAAAATTAGACCAACAATTTCCTTCAACTTAATCCTACTTCCCGAGTGGTAATCCATAACCTACAACTCCCATGTAAGACCTAAAGCCTGGGCTCTAATACCAAATCTGTAACGCCCCAAAAACCCCCTTGGATGACATTACATTCTAAAAACCATTCACCGCATGAGAGCATTAAGTAAATCTATCACGACGAAAGTTTCATTCATCCACCATTCATATTTTAAGAAAATTTGGGCAGAGTCTCCTCTGTTCGGGGAGCTCTACCCAAAACACAACCTGTGCAATTCTACTGTAATGACCACACCGGGTCCATTTAACTACCATAAAATCAATCCGTCCAATTTACATGTTATCCCAAAAGAATAGGCCAAGTTATGGCCTTTACATTCCCACAAAAGTACTATAATACACAGCGGAATTTATAAAATAAAAACTAGGCTATACAATTCTCCCAAAAGATTGTCCAAGTCTATAACAAAAGAAAGGGGGGTCGCTCTAAGCATCCACCTCGGGATCCATGCTCCCTTCTATCGGAGTCTCCAAATATGTCGGCCCCTCGACTCCCAACTCCTCGTCAAAGGCAAAATCTGAAAGGTGGGGAAGTAGGGGGGCTGAGCACAAGGCTCTGTAGGAGGATCCTTCCAAACCCATTCAAGGTTTTGAAATCAAATAAAACAGGTAGGTCACGTTTCGCACATACATATAAATGAATTTTAAAGTAAAGTAAGGACATTTTAAAGGAGATCTCAAGTTTGTACAATAATAAGGACTTGAACGAGAATAAAACCACATTTAATTGACAAACAATTTCCAACATAATCCACTCCACCATACACCATTTCCACAAGGTATCGCGGCATCCCATACTACCCGAAACTCCTGGAAAAATAATATTTGACACAATGAACAAAAATTTCTATTTGGTACCACTCAAGTAGGTTGTCGCTTCTCATGAATCTACCCGACGATTCTACCTCGTTCACCCATTTCCACTAACAATCACAGACCAATTTAGGAAGGGCATGTACCGTCTCATACGGCCTTGACGAGATCCTTCCAAGGTGTCTAGTATACTAACCCTTTTCCCCGGTATCCGTGAACAATAGTGGTCACTGTCACCACAGTGATCCACTACGAGCATTAGGCAGCCATCTCACCCCCCATTGGGATAGACTAACCTCTAATGCACTATTGCAGTTTTCGAAGGTAATCCAAGTCCCTCACAACACCATACACAAGAGTGACATACCGACAATATACTCAACCTCATATACAAGCAAATTCCATGATGTTTCCCCAAATTTTCACAAGCAAGATACATAATAGAACAATTTAAGAAAATATACCCATTTCGCAAATCATGTAACAAGAGACAAGTTTAAAGGAAATAAGCATGAGATCATCAATAGAATCATTTTACTACCCAACACAAAGTTCTAGAATTTTCGAAATCAAGATGATGTGAAGGTATAGAGAAAAATTCATATTTCCCCCAAAAACTAGAGTTTGATGGATTTTCAACCATCATTTTGTTCAAAGCATGGGAATGTTTGTAAACATACCAAGGAACAAGGAACCCATAACAAATACATACTATTAAGAGCCAAATTCTACATGTATAATAACCCTAACATCAATGGACAAGGATGGAAGAAAACCCTACCTCAATGTTCTTAAAAAACCTAGGTTTAGTGTGAAGAAGATGAAGATTTGATCTTCTTTGAAGTATAGATCTCCTCTTGATCTTGTGTTTTATCCTTCTCTCTTCCTCTAGAGTCCTAAGAGAAGTGGGTTGAGAGTGGAATGAGAGAAATGAGAGTAAAGGCTGAAATCTGTGTTTTTAAACACAGAAATCCCGATTTTTTTTTACTGTTCATGGGCTGCTTCGGTATTACTTCGTTATCAGGGCATAACTCTCTCATCCGAGCTTCGATTGAGATGATTCAAGATGATATGGGAAGCTAAGAAAGAACTCTACAACTTTCATGTTTTGAGTTTTAAGAGATATTGACTGCATCAAGGTCTAAATTGGGTTTGAAGTTGCAGCCAGTGCACAGTTCACGTGCACTGTTCACTATTTCATCCTTTTTTCCATTTCCAATCTACCAAATTCAAACACACATCGCTACACCTATCCCCATTTTTACAACAATTATTTAATATATATCTATATGCATATATATGAAATAAAATGCGGAGTGTTACAGATATGGTTGAACATATTATTTCTCATCGTTAAAATTTTATTGAGGCAATTAGCACTCTATAAATTTTAACTGGATGTAAATTATCAATTTTTTAACTGAATACCGTCTCTAAAAAACCGAAGCGTTATGGGATATTATGAGATTAACTAGCCACATTAGTGGCATGATTTGATATTCTAACTTACTTTAATCCCTACGATTAAAGGACATGATTTTGTTTCTCATCCTATATAAACGGGTGTATCTCATGCATGTTGATTAATTAAGAATAATTATAGGTATATGCTCCTTTGTGGGTTTTGTGTCATGGACTTAGGTCTTAGGACCGAACTACGTTAATTTCTCGTGTCTTGACCTTTTGTTCATTTATTTCATTTGTTATTATTTAAATTTTATCAAACAATAACTAGGGAGGGATCCAAGGTTTAGACCGGAGTGAATTCATTTGCCAAGTCTTTAATGGGCCTTTTGGATACTCGAGAGAAATTTCGAGGACAAACTATTAACAATTACAAAAATTAGTTCTTAAATATTATTCCTTTGGCATTTAAGAACTGGGGAAGACCCATTTGAAAGTAATGAGTTTCACTTTATTTTATGGCAAGACAATCTAGTATTACAATATTTGAAGAAATCTACTATTGAAGTGAATTAGAATTCATGAGAATGATGTGTGAATTGCTACTTCTACTATTGAATGCAACGTTGATACCATGCTATCATTGATGACATGATATCACAAACCAATAATACAACTTCCAGTGGGCAAGGTGAACCCTGCTTGAACTTAGGGGTATCAAACACGTCGGGTTGGGTCATTTCGTGTCGGGTTTGTTTCGTGTTTGTGTCAAAAATTCTTAAACACTAACTTGACATGTTTAATAATTGTGTCAAGATGTATAAACACTAACCTGACCTGACAATTAAACGTGTTACCCGAACCTGATATGTTTGACACGTTTAATAAACATGTCATTTTCGAGTCAACACATTACATGACATGTTAACCTGTTTAACCCACAAATCAAATTCTATTTGTTTAGCACCTTTTAAAAAAATCAAAAGATTTTTTGAATAAAATTCAAAGAATTACAAGAGGCAAAAGGAAACCATTTCCTAACATCCATTTCCAATTAAATGACTTTAATCCTTCAAAACATCAAAAAAAAAAAAAATCATTCAAGCTCCAGATCTGCTCCGGCAAGGCCAGTAGACAGCTACAAGCAAGCTACAAGCTTTCAATGCCTGCACAATTAACTCACATATTAGAGTTCTCCTCTCACTCTTTCTTCAGATGGAACTTTAAGCAGGCTACAAGCTACTGTAGCCCATTTTTTTTTAAGGGCAAACACGGTTGTAATTTTATTTCATAAAATCCAAACAATTACAAGAAGCAAAAAAAAATTGGAACTATTTTATTTCAACTGTACAAGAGAAAAAGACCCTGCACAACAACTGTTCTTACCTCTGCAGCTTAGCATCTGCCTTGCCTGATCCACTGCCCATCTGCTACAAATGTTGAATCAATTGGAAAACAGCCCAGACTGCCCTCTTGTCAGATTAGCACACCAACAACAGTAACTGATAGAGCATAACAGCAACAAGTCAGCAGCCCTACGCCGACTGCAACACCTGAAAAACTAGTTGCATTGTCCCACCAACAGCTCAAGGCCTAACCCCTGCAATCAACTCCTTGCAAATCAAGTCCAGAACTAGAAGTCAGCACCCTCAGTAAAACAGTTTCAATCCCATGCCAGCAGACGGCACAACATCAGCTATTTTACAAATCCCATCCCAACCACTCGGCCCTTATCATCAAATAATGATGCATGAATTGCCCACAAGAAGACAAATTGACTCAGATATGTTACATGTAGAAAAGGATGAATTGTTCAACGTCAACCTCAAGGTAAAAGTAAGAAAAAAATTATATAAATCAACAAGATTTGAGTAGGAACATAGCAAATTTTCCTTCTTGCGTCTTGTGCGTCATTGTTGATATGTAAATTTGAATTTTTGGGGCAAAATTAAGTAATTGTGCTAATTAAAGATATCCCCATACAATTCTTTGGTCTCTCTCTGCTCATCCTAATCACTTCCAGAGCTTAAATCCTTCTCTAGAGGCCATCTCGCATGAGCAAAAATACCAGAACTTGACACTTCCTCCTTGAATCATGTGAGTTGCTTGGATGGAGGGGCAATTCTATAATTTTTTTAAAATTTAAAATTTTTAATTTTGTTAAATTCAAACACATTAATTAATTCACTCCTCACACCCTAATTTCATTCCCAACATTACCACGCCCTCCAATTAATTCCGTAAATCAAATTCGAAACCCTGAACTGTCCGAAGCCGTACTAACCCTAGTATGTCTGGATCGTCGTTTTTGCTCGATTCCTTCCACCTAACCACACTTGACCTCGATCTCAACCTTGACCTCGACCTCTAAGTCTCACCAACATATTGTCACACTCACACCTAGTCTGAGATCATGTTCAATCGACATGGCTTGCCACACTCGACCCTCGTAATCTCTTCAACACCAACCCTGCTTCCACAATGAACCCTCGCATTCTCGGTCATTACAAAAATTATAACTTTTGGTACGATACCAAACAGAACTACCCAAAAGAGAATAGAAAAGGAATGAAGACCAACTTGAAATAGTACAAGAGAAGAAAACAAAAGGTGACAGGCAGACTAAAAAAAAAACTTGCCAAATGTTCAAAAAACCAAGACACAATTTTTTCCCCTATGTAAGTAAGTAACTCTTCACTGATTCTCCATATAAGTTCAAGTAGGGCTGTCAATTTTCAATACGACACGTTAACACAACACGAACCGAATACGAAATAAATGGGTTGAACACGAAATTAAATGGGTCAATAGATAAAAATGGGTCAACACATATAAACACGAAAAAAAAAGCAGGTTGGGTTCATGTCGAAATCAGGTCAATCCGATTTTGACCTGATTAACCCGTATATTTTAAATAGGTTAATATAATTCGACTCGAACCCGACCTACCCATTTCTTACCTGTTTAACCCATTTATCGAAATATATAAAAACAACAAAAAAAAACATAACCCTAACCCACCTCCACTTTTCCCCTTTTTCACTCTCACCCACCGCTGGTCGCTTTGTCTGGAGGAGGAAAGGAGGGCTCACTGTTTAAGAGTTCTCATCATTCTTGTCGTTCATGCCTACATCGTTGCTCAACCGAAAAGGTTTGTTCCTCTCTCTCTCTCTGTCGTTGTGTTCTCTCTCTCTGTGCTCGCTGCGACTCAATCGAAGTGTAGAACAGTCAGATTCGGATTACAACACACAACACTCATACATTCCCTTGGCCACAAGCTGTGTAGTATTTCCCCTTACTTTTTATTTGTGTTGGGTTGTTTTTAATTTTGTGAAGAGGGAGGGCAGACAAAAATAGGAGCATAGGCATAACACAAATCATTTATCACAACATGATGACCATTAACCCATCAAAAAAGAGTTAAAGACAAATTGAAGTATGCTATCAGATGCTTCAAGCCTCAGGTTATCTACATATCTAGATGGTCCAATCATTCTTACTCTCACGAAATGCCTCTCAGGTCTGTCCCTCTAGTTTCATTCAGCTTCAACAGTTCTATTAAAAGATCTCAAAGTAGGCAACTGATGTAGATTAAAGAAACCATACCCAACATGACAGCCCTTATTTTCTGCGCATTACACATCACACAACAGGAAGATTTATTGGCACTTGCTTACATTTTTCTCTACTTACCTTTATAAGTTGTATTGGAAGTTTGTGTATTTTTTTTTTGTATTTTGACCAAAAAATGTACTACATTGTATGTGTGTTATATATTTTGCTTACATATTTTTTTTTTTTGGCATTTGTGTTGGGAACAGATGAATTCACTTCCATTGAATGACGAACACATTGATGGACTTGCCCCTGTAGCTGATGATGTTGCCATGGCTGAATCAAATCATGCTTTTGATATTCAAGATAGGCTAGAACTGGATGGTGTTGATAAACCAACAAATAAACGTCAACGAAGGTTCACCTCAAAAGTATGGGGAAACTATACTTTTCTTAAAGAACCAAGTCCAGAAGGATTGCTGAGATGCGAATGTAAGAAATGTAAGCAAGTTTATAATATTGATAGTAAGCACTGCACTGGGAATTTCAAGCGACGCACTGCAACTTGTTTGAAGCGAACCACCTATGATATTGGTCAACTACTTATAACCCAATCCAATGGTGCTTTGGGATCTAGGTCTTTTAAATTTGACGCAGGGAAGTTTAAAGAGTTATTGATTTGTGCAATTGTTAGACATGAACTTCCATTTCAATTTGTTGAGTGTGGTGGCATTAGAAGTCATTTCACCTACTTATGTCCCCAAGTCATACAAATTTCTAGGAATACTGCAAGGGTGGAAGTTATGAAACTTTATGCTATAGAGAAAGGGAGGATTTCTCAAGAACTGCAAGACTTGCCTGGTAGGATATGTTTGACTTCTGACTTACGGACTTCTATTGTTACTGACGGTTACTTGAGTCTCACTGCACACTACATTGATAAAGATTTGGTGTTGAAAAAGAGAATTTGAATTTCTCTTACATGCCTCCTCCCCATACTGGACTTGCTTTGTGTGAGAAGATTTATAGTTTGTTAAATAGTTGGGGTATTGAGAAAAAACAATTTTCACTTATTTTAGACAACGCAGCTGCAAATGATGTGTTGGTTGATTTGCTTAAAAATCAACTTAATCTGCAAGATGCATTGTTGTGTGATGGTAGTTTATTTCATATCCGTTGTTGTGCTCATATTTTGAATTTGATAGTTCAAGAAGGTTTGAAGGAAATAGGTGAAGTTGTTAAAAAGATCCGGGAATGTGTGAAATATGTAAAGGGATCTCAAGTTAGGAAGAAAAAGTTCTTGGAATGTGTTGCACAAACATCTTTGGACAGGAAGAGAACTTTGAGGCAAGATGTTCCAACTAGGTGGAAGTCAACCTATCTCATGCTTGCAAGTGTCATTTACTATTGTTGTGCATTTTCTCATTTGCAACTAAGTGATTCTAATTTTAGACATTGTCCAACTCAAGAAGAATGGGATAGAGTGCAAAACATTTGTAGGTTCTTAGAATCTTTCTATGATACTACTTGTGTTTTTTCTGGTTCCAAGTATCCTACCTCAAATTTGTACTTTCCAGAAGTTTTCTTGATTCAACTTAATTTAAGTGAAGAGATGAAAAATTCGGATGTTTTCATGAGGAGGATGACACATCAGATGTTTGGGAAATTTGATTAGTATTGGTCAAAGTATAGCTTGGTTTTGGCTATTGCGGTGATATTTGATCCTCGTTATAAAATTCAGTTTGTGGAATTTTCCTATAAGAAGCTTTATGGTGATGAATCATTTGAGTTCAACCGTGTTGGCGAGAAGTTATTCTCTTTGTTTGATGAGTACATGCACAATTCTTCTAAGGCTAGTTCTTCATAGACATCATCTTCTCAGGACGTAGATCATGGTTCTCGTGGTAGTCACCAACATCATAGCATAAATCAGATCAAAGCTAAACTTATGGTGATATGTTTTTTTTAATTTACTTGCATTGTGTTACTAATTTAGTATTATATGATATTAAGATTGATTCTCTTTTAACTTATTTTGTCTTCTTGAACATAGGAATTTGACTCTTATGAGAGTGAAACATTTATTTGTAGTTCACATAAAAGTCAATTACAATTGTATTTGGATGAGCCTAGAGTTGATAGAAATGAAAAACTTGATGTACTTGCTTATTGGAAAGCTCACCAATTTCGTTATCCGGAACTTGCTCTAATGGCTCGTGATGTGTTAAGTGTTCCCATTTCTACGATTGCTTCGGAGTCTGCATTTAGCACCGGTGGTAGGGTTCTTGACCAGTATTGTAGTTCTTTGAAGCTGGAAGTTGTTGAGGCATTGATATGCACAAAAGATTGGTTGTTTGGAGAAAGAGGTAAATATAAGTTATGTGATTGCTTTAGAATTTGTGTTTTAAATAATGAAATCTTATTTCTTATGCATGTATATACTTGTTTCATTTAGTTCCTGCACAAAATGATTTGGAGGACATTATAGAAAATATGATTAATATCAATGTTGAGGAAGATGGTTCTACTATGATTGATGATGATCATTGATTGAAGGTACATCATTATTTTTAGTGTTTAATCTATTAGTTTGTGTTTGTCTTGTTTTGCTTTTCTAATTGAAGTATTTCTTCTTTTGATTAGGATTCATGAAGTGTCAACGTTTTGTGTGCACCATGCCTTACTGGAGGAGCAGAAACTGCTTATTTTGTTTTAGTTTTATGTAGCATGTCAATAGCAAGTCATCTTTTAGAATATGATCTCAAAAATGACTTGCTATTGCTTTTGCTTATTTGCTGCTGCTTTTGTTTTATTATGCCAGTATATTTTGTATGTTATATGAATGACTGATGTGGACCTTGTGCTCTTAACATAATGGAAGTGTATTAGTATAGTTCTTGTTTAACTTTTTGGGTTGAAACTTGAATGCATTTTAGTTGAATAGGTTAAATAGGTGCAGGATCAGATTTGAGGTATTTGAGATGCAGTAGCATCATGCAGCCGAACTGAAGGTTTTACAACTATTAAAATTCTAATGCATGATTTTATATGTAAATTTCTAAAAGCAGAAACAAGCAGTGCAGTTGAAGTAAACATCAGTTGAAGCAGGCAGTGCAGACAACAGTTGAGAAGCAAGCAGTGCAGTTGAGAAGCAGTTGATTTTCTGGCATTAGTTGATTAGCATTAGTTTTGTGACACTGATATCATTGTCAACCTATTTTTTTAATGGCTATAACTTCTTGTACATCCATGATGACAAGGTTGCATGCCAAATGATTTTGGACAAAATGGGATTAAAAGGTTATCAGGTAACATTTGATTATCAGAATTTTTCCCTTAATATTTAAGAACTTCCATTGTTTCGGTTTTTAGAAATTGCAGTTGAGAAGCATCCAGTTGAAGCAGAGCAGCTGAGAAGCAGTCCAGCTGAAGCAGAAATCGCATACAACAGCTGTGATGTGCCCAGCTGAAGTAGAAAAACAACTGATTTTTTACTTGATTAAATTTGTGTTTCAGATTTTTGCCTTCTGATTTGGAGGGTGCTGTGCAACAGTCAAGTGAAGCAAATGCTAGATTAACGTTTCGTCAGGAGGATATAAATCGAAATCAATTACTACCACTCTCCCTCTTTTCTCTCTCTCTCTGCCTTGGTTTGTGTCTATCAATCTTTCATCATGCTGTTGATAATTTTGTCTTATTTCTTCTTATCATATTTCATATTCTCTTAAGAGATGCACACACACATGGACATGACGAGGCATATTCATTTAATCTTTGTCAATGAGTAATATGTTCTACTGGCTTATGAAAAGTTTCATACTATGAACTTGTGTTTTGAGTGACCAAGATTGACCGGATTAACGTGTCCTTTTCTTTAGGAATGCTAGTGAACTTGCTCTTAAGCAGCTTACCACAAGTTATCATTATCAATATCCAATTAAATTCTCACACAAAATTTTAATTTTCAAGAGTGAAATTCATGCATTTCTCTCAACCTAAAAACCTCCACTTTATGTGACATTCTATTTAGACATTTTTTTTATATATATTTTAACTCAATAACATGTATATACAAAATTATTCAACAACACATGCCGCTACAATGAAAACAGGCATTTTTTGTGACAATTCTTTATGTTGCTAAACGAATAAAAATAGTCGCAAATTGTTTTTTGTGACGTTTTTTTTCGTAGCGAGGTTGTTGTAATTTTGCAATGCCCTTTTATTTTCATTGCCAAAAAGAGTTTTTGCGACAAAAAAAAAATATCGTGAAAATTTCAAAGCGTCGCTAAAAATCTGTTCAAAAAATAATAATTTAATTAATTTTTTGTGACACAAAAATCATCGCAAATAAATTTTTAAATAAATAAAAATGTAAACACATTCCCAACGCCCCAAATAAACGTTGCAATTTTCTTTTAATTTTGACGCAAATATTAAACATCGCTGTACAGTTCAATAAAAAATGTGAATAGATTTCAATGCTAAAAAGCGTCGCTAAATAAACACATTTGCGACGTAATAATTAATCGTCGCTAAAATGTTGAATCAAAAGATGTGCAAACATACTAGCGCAGCTTAAAAACACGTCGTAAAAAGAAAGTTCATCCAATCTTTTGTGACAATTTTCATTTCGTCCCAAAAAAAGTGTTTTTTTTAAAAATAGCTCTCCTTAAAAAAAAGTATTCTAATAAAAATTTTCACCTGTACACCACTAATATCTGTTTCACATATTTTCCAATAAAAAACTCACAACTAATGCATTTAAGATGTTTTCCATTTAACAACCAAACACAAACTCGCATAAAAAATACCATACTAACAAAAACACAAAAGTAAAATATGATTAATAAAAATTATACAAGTCGTCAAAATATCCAACAACTTAATTTGCTTACAAGTTTTCAAAAATATTTAGATACATAACAAAGTTAATTCTTTAGTCACTTTGATGCAGAAATCCATCATCCATCTATTACAAAAGGAAAAAATACGTTAACAAATCAATAATCAATTTTTTAAAAAACATACACATACATTCAAATATTAGGTTTTCTAATTCTCAAGTGTTGAAATTTTTACGTCAAGCTCTCAACCCGAGTCCTAGAATGAGATTCTGTCTTTTCCTACAAGTTTCTTTGTCCAAATAGTTGGTCTCCGTCCGTTTTCACTGCAAATGAAGTGGAAATGAGCCGATTGACACCCTTAACTCTCCAAGTTTTTTTTATTCTTAAGTGTTAAACTTTCTAGTTTTTCGTCAAACTCTCGACCGTGGTCCTAGAATGAGATAGCATCTTTTTCTATAAGTTTTTATGGCCAAATAGTTGGTATCTGTCCATTTTCACGTCGAATTAAGTGGAAAAGGGCCGATTAGAACACTTAGCTCCAAGTTTTTAGTTTTCTAATTTTTAAGTGTTGAACTTTCTAATTTTTAGTCAAACTGTCAACCTAGATCCCGGAACAAGATGCCGTCTTTTCTTACAAGTTTTTAT